GGTAAGTCATTTGCCGTCTGCAATATACCTTGAATTCTACATTCGGTTTGGAACTGGAGCTGAATAGGAAGAATAATTGGAAAGAAAGAAGCTGGGGTAGAATTAACAATTCTTTGCTAATATTTGTGGGTTTGAAGCAGTGGTAGAAGCAGCTTCAGCTTCTACTGTTAATCCACAATGCCTACTACTTGAAGAAGCAGCTTTCAGAAACATCTCTCGAGGTGGTAGATTTTGAAGTTTGCCTTTCTACAGAAGGACTGTCTAAGCCAGTGAAGGCTGCGTAATTGGAAAAGTGCTGTTTGTAATTTGGTGGATTTCATGAGGGATTGGAAATTAATTCTGCAGATGCAAAGCATCTATAGGAAACATAAGACTAGACTGCTTGACTTAGACACTCTAAATGTCTTCAGGTGAAGATTAGCTGGATAAATATCCAATGCAGAATGCATCTGTTTTAATGGACAGAGGTATGTAAACACAGAGGAGCACAGATCAGGAGCACTAGTTGATTGGGGTACATGTTGCTCCAATGTCATTGACAGGATCTGGTAGGGCTGTAGCCAGCATCACAGATGTGCTTGTATTATGTGCTCAGTTTGGAAGACACTGGCTTTTCATGGAAGAACATGTGGAGGAGGGTTACACAAACCTGTAGGAGATGCCAAGTTTCTTTTGTTGTGACTCACGAAGGCAGTGGCAGCCTGTACTTGCTGCTCCCTGACTAATGCAGGGGTTATTCCAGAGCGTTCAAAGAATATTGGAGGTTACTAGTTCAAAGTTTTTATGCATTACATCATTTTGTTGCAATGACTGACTCATTTGGTCAGTTTATTTGGTAAGTAGGCAGTGGTAAGTGAGGGAACTATAACAGGGTATACCTGCATTGGTTCAGCTGACAACACAGTTTGCTCTCTGTTCTAATTACTTATTGATAAGATTTATCTCCTTTCCCAGAGGCAGAGGAGGATAGCAGTACTTGCAGGCAAGTCTGTGAGTCTCAAATAGAAAATCTCTTGGGCGAGGGGAGTAGTACTTATTTTGTAGTTAAAAAAAAAATTCCATTATTTCCTGAAATCTCATTTTACATGGCTTTGTGTACAGGAAGCAATATCTGTTACCTGTAAAGCAGCATGTTGTCAGTTGCATGGAAAGGGAAAAGGACAACCTAGAAGAATTAATCTTTAGGTGTAACACGCACACTCTGGGGCACATTTGTCCCTAAAAATCTCAAATTTTTCTGAGCACAAAATTGGCATAGCGTTGTCCAACTAAGACAGTTAAGGACACTTCTAATGTCTTATTTTCCCCTAGCTACTGAAGTATTTAATGAGTCTGTCAGTAGCATCAGGAGCAGAACGTTGCCTGTCTTAGTAAGGAACACCTGCATCATCAGGAAGACAGTTACCTGGATATATGTTGCTAAAGGATGGGATTCTCATAGGGGAAAGCATGCCTAAGGAAGTAGGAGAATGGTACTATGTTGTATTCCTCCAAATAATTTATAAATATATTCACTTTCTCTTATATTCTAATTAGCTATCATATAAGTACTCAGAATGATGAAACTGAATGTTTGCAGATTTTCAGTAAGACTTTGAAAGAAATAGTATATAATACAAAGTGCTTTTTTTTTGTCTTGGGCAGAACTCTTTATGTAGAATACAGCTCCATGTTGTGAGTTTGTTCTGCATTCCCACATAGGGGACAACAGACTGTAGACATAAATAAAACCATCCAAAAAGGACTTTTATTTATTTATTTATTTATTTAATTATAAGCTTGCCCATGATGATACTACCAGCAAATGAGTTTGCTAATGCAAGGTGGCAGATCTCAAAGGGTTCAAGGCTCAGGACAGATAGCTGTCTCTCTTCCATACTCCTTAATGTGTTAAATCAAGAGGAATACTCCCTATTCTGAAGCAAAAAGAAACTACCTTACTTTTAGGTTTCATTAGGACCTGATGAACTGAGTTTGATTTTGACACATAAAAATATTCCAAATGGAAAATCTTTTTATTGCATTATGTATATTACTTGGCATGTTTCTCTAGATTGCAATAAAGACACCATCTCAGCAAAGCAACTATAGTTTGGAGCCTGTTGTACTGGGGGAATATTAGGTAATATAATATTGTTTCTAAAAGGCTTTAGGCTAATGAGCTGGAATACATTTGACTGGTGGGCTCTTTTCAGTCAGGAGTGGTGGACTTTACTGATCATAAGACCCACCAAAGTGACGATGATTTTTCAGTCGTAGTGACATTTGTTATGAGCGTATCTGTGTTCAAACTTGCTCATCTTTAAGGATCCTGTCCACTGCTCCTGCACAGGAATTGCCTTGCAGGGTGTAGAACTGCATTAATTCATGTGTCATGGATACACTTCTGTGGGCACATGTTCTCATGTCACCTTTGGTGTCTTCATGAGTGAGTGGAGTTAGGCCTTTGTGAAAAGGGAGGGTAGAGAGAAGATTGACAATCTAGGGTCACCTGTATTAGCAAAAAATCAGGCAAGTTAGCTTCCTTCAGATGCAATGTGGTATTAGAACTATTTCAATGTGGATTAAAGGAATTGATTTGGTTTGAACTGATATTACCAAGATGCTGTTAAGGAGTTGAAAGACTGTGGGCATTTTAGAGGCTTATCTTATCTACTTGCCTCAGGACCCATCATGCCTTTTGTTGTGTACCCATTAGCTGAAGTAGTCAAAGTCCCTGACCTCTTTGATTTGCAGTCCTTCAGCTTAGACTGTGATTTAGAAAGCTACTTTCCCTGCATGATTTTAGCTTTTGTCAGTCACAAGATCTTTCTCTCAATGTGGAGAGAAATGCTGTTGCAACTGGAGCCCCAAGCTGATTAATACACGGTTATCTGTTTCTTGCACTCTGAAAGCACTCACACCAGCAAGTTTCTCCTGCTGCAGTTTACCCCACCCCTTCTAGAAAATACCCTTTTAAAAAAAGTCTTTGTCTTCTGATTTCTATAGTAACACAGAAGAGTGAGTCGTTTATTGCTGAAGGATTGGAACATAAGCAGTGTTTCCTTTTATGAGAGGAAAGCCCTCCCAGTTGCAAAAGTTGGGGTGAAATGATGAACGTTTTTTGAGGAAGGAATATTGAAGGGTCTGCAGATAGTATTGAACACTAGTTTTGAACAGAAACATACACACGGATCCTGCCTGTGTGGTAACAACCATCATGAAATGGGAGACTATTGACTATATGTTCACCTTAAGTGAAAACCTGTGTGCTGTTCTTGCAATGAGCTGTGAGAACATCTTGAAGTGTTCGCTAAAACTTATCACTAACAAATGTAAACTTTCCCTGAGTCCAGTGTCGATTTTCAGGATTTTTTTTCATTCCTTCCCTCTTCCTTTGTCAGTTGTGTGAATACCTTTATGGTTAAGAACACGTCTTTGCTGTCTAATTTTCTCTTGTTCAAGACTGTCAGGAGCTTTGGGAAACAATAGAGAAGTAGAGAAGGATGTAGAGATTTCAGTGAGACTAGGGAAGCACAAATTGTCATAACAAGGGGAACAGTGGGGAGAAGCATCCCTGTTTGATGTACAGCAGAGATCAGATGCTGTGTCCAGATTGAGAAGCAGACACCTCGAGATCCTGCTTCTCCAGTCATCCAGGTCAGAACAGAGCATGATCTGTCTACCTGGTGGTGCACATACTCCTTTTCTGTCTATGGAAATGAAGCATAGATGGAAATTAATTGCTAGCACATGCCAAACTCTTCCTTCAATGTAGGGTCAAGTCATGGCTGGAGCAAACATGCATTGAGACTGAGCCTGTTACAGACTTTGCTTAAACAGAGTTTAAAAAAAGGCTCTTTAGGCTACCTTGTAGACAGCATGGGAAGGAAAAAAGTGATTAATATTTGTGAAAAAGTTTTTGTGAACATTTTGTCTTTTGTATATTCTTGCTTTTATTGCCTAGATGTCTAAGCAGGAAGAGAGAATTCACTGTTAACACTGTGATTGAGGATATTGCATAAATGTGGATATCAGGGAACAATTTGTGGCTTTTTCAATTGTTTGTGAAGTCTGTTTTTAATGTGGGAATGCTTGAATTGTCTACTTTCTCCTTACAGGGACCATTGAGCTTTTTCTTCCATTAGCTAGTGGAGAGGAGTATAGATAATTTACTTTCAGCAAAGGGTGACCTAGCATATCAAATGACTGTTAAGCACTGAATGTGCTTGAAGAGGGGGAGGAAAAATAAAGAGCTTTGGTTTGGTTTGGATCATTCTCAGACTTTATTTTCTGGCTCATTTTCTGAGTTTACTCCTTAACTTGGTTTATCAGAGACATGTTCCCAAAAGCTTGCTGTCTAACCAGACACAGTGACGCAGAGGTAGGCATTGTTGCTTCAAGGCTGTGATTTTTGATGAACAAATATTTCTTGCCTAAAAGGAAGACAATAACCTAAACATGAAGCATTTTGGTAGCAATTTTGCATTATGCTTTTGTCACTAGTACAGGAAGTGCCTGAGGGGAAGACAAGGCTTCTCATGGACTTTCCTGTTTTGCGCTTCCTGTGGTCAACTTAAAATACAGTCCCAAATTATGTTTAGAAAGTTTTTAAAGAGGCAAGGTTAGCAAGAAATTACTTTGAACTTTACATAGGTGGTTGAGAATCAGCGCTCTACATTTCTGTGTTATTGCTACCTCAGTGAAACTCCCGGCTTCTTTTTGGGAACAGGGAATTTCATTGTGAAGAGCGAACTGATAACCATTATTATTTGACAGAGCTTAAAAACTTTAGTCCCAGGCTGTGGTTGGATACGCAGGAGCTGTGCAAGCTTGATCCAACAGGCACTTCTGCCAACACTGTGCCAGAGTTGGTGTGCACAGCTGTGAACCAGCAGCTTGGAGAGCTGGCCATGCTGTTGGCCCTGTGTGCTGTGAAAGAAAAGCAGTGAGATGGTAGAATTTGTGTCATCGTGTACCGATTGTATATCCCTGCAGTTCTTCCCTTTGAATTTCTGCAGGTTTATGAACACACTTCTCTGCAGGTACAGACCTCGTGGGATGGGCAATGCAGAGTGAAGCATCGGATGCGTTTCTCAGGTAAGGGTGAGGGCAGTGTGGGTGAACAGGCTCTGGTCTAGTCTTGACTGCAAGTTCTGCGGAGTCACCTGGGAGTGAAGGCCAAGCCAGTCTCGGTCTCTAGCACCGCACTGTGGTATGCAGGACTCAGCGTATTGGAACTGCTCAAGCATTCCCTTTCCTGCTCATTCATTTTGAGTCTAATGCTTTGGGCTCTCGGTTGCTGCAAACCACAAATGCTAAGGGATGGCTTTTCTACAATCTGTTTAATTTCTGAAGAGCTGATTGACAAGGTGGTTGGTATTTTCTATGTCACAATGTGTACTCCAACTCACATTGCTTATTTTCAGTTCAGTTTGCCTCCAGCTGCAAACATGCCTATGAGAGTATGAAGGTATATTTCAAAGGCATTGCTAATCCCTCATATATAGCTGTAATTGTAGCAGCTACTTTTTAAAACAGACATTCTCTGGCGATTTGTGCCAAAAGTGTAACCAGACTTGGCTGTTATACTATTAAACACCAGGGTATTTTATCAAGACCGTCACAATTTACTGCCATTGTGCTGTGGTTACTAAAAGTAAGTAAAAACATACTGTAGTAGTATCATAGTATGAACCTACATTCCACAAACTTCAGAATCTGGAGCACTACATTCCTCCTCTGTGGTTCCTAACCGTCTTTTTACAATCTGAAAAATTAATTCAAGTGTAGTTTTACTCTGATTTCATCATAGCAGAGGGGAATGGCCCCTTAATGGTTTCTGACAGATTAATAAAGAGTTTCCTTGCTGCTGATAAGAAGTAATCCCCATATGAAAACCACTACAGAATCTGTTTTATAGTTGTGCCCATGTCCTTCTGGCCTCTTCTGTGAATGCATGAATAATAAAATTAACTTCTCAGCACACAGCATAGCCATGATTGAGGAACAGCCTTTCATTTCCAGATTCCACCTACATACTATCACAAACCACTTACTATAAAGACTAGGCATTAAAGGATGAACAGGAGTAAAGCTCTAGGAAATATGAAATTTACTTTTAGCTTGCTTAGAGTGTGCACTGCAGTAAATAACTGTAGCACATGTCTAGGAATTATATACTGTTTGGATGATGTTCACTTTATAGCAGTACTTAGCATCCAGAAAGAAGTTTAACATAGATATGCCTTTATTAGTACTCAGTTAAGTTTCTGAGGGAAAAAAAGCCCAAATAAAAAACCTCAAACAAACAAAAAACCAAACCAACCAACAGAACATAAAACCAAACAGAAACCCAAACCGAGCTAATAAGGTGCCTGAAAGCCCTTTACCAGGTGTAGGTAGTATTTTAAAAATATTTTACTATATTCATTCCTAGGTGTCAGTAACTGATAGATAATATTCATTTTTGTAATAAATAATTTTGAGTGTTTATGCTTGTAAACTTAACAGTGTGGGGGTTTATTTACTGGTCTAACAACAGATAACTTATTTGCATTCAAGTGTGTGGCAATAGGCTGTTGGAAACATGTCCATCATGTGTGTATAAAAGTAAATATGGCCAGTGAAACAGTGTGTGTGTGTTTGTCTTCAGCACGCTGAGCCTCTCTCCTTATCATAATATATTTTTAATCAGTCGACAACAGTGCTTGTGTCACAAAGTAATCAGTCTTAGAAATAGTTTTGATCTTGAAGGAATCCTGACAAAAGACTCTGAGGTCCACATAGATAGTCTGGAATATGAGTCACTTCCTAATTCTCTGACTCATCCCCATAGATGAACAATTTTATTGACTTCTAAATAATTGCTTATGAATCATCTGAAGGACTATAAAGGAAGATGTATGGCAATCATTTTCATGCCGGTGCTTTTCTCTGGCTGTGGTAGGATATTAGTGAATTGTAATCAAGGGAGAAGAGCAGTTGCATGAACATCTACAGGAGCACTGGGACCTCACAGAGAGTAGAATTTGTACAAAACCTGAAATTTCTTTCCTCTCTTTTTCTTGTTAGATTTTTTTGGCTTTGTGTTACCTTTTTATGTTAGTATTTCTTTCTTTGAATCATTAGACTGTTATTCATGTCTCGATTATTACATCTTTGTCCACAATTTGACCCTGTAAAACTTGTACACTTTCTTACGTCTTAACAGCAGTCTCAGCACAGCAGAGTCCAGGCTGCACACCTAGGCTTTGGATCAGAGCCTGAATTTCCAGAGAGCTAGAAGTGGGATCCCTACTGCACTCTTCATTTTAATGGTGTCTGCACTGTAAGATGAGCATGAGATCTCTGTGCTCTGCAGAGGTGGGGTTTCTTCTTTACAAAATATATTTGTTTGTCTGTGCTGCTACTCCTGCATGCTCTCAAATTTCCCTTCTGAGAAGGTTCAAAAGATGAGGGGCAGTCTCCTAATGGAGCACAGTTCATTTCTGACCACCTGTTTTTGTGAGAGCATGAGCCACTACTGTTTACTTGGTGTCATTAAGCTGTAACATTCAGCTCTGAAAAGCTGTATTTACAGTCAGCCAAATGAAACACACGTATAAGTATATAAAGCAGAGGGCTCATCCCTGTGGCTTTTAGAATAAAATAGGGTAGTATCTTCTAAAAACCACTGAGGATGTTTGTTCCTGTTTAAATTCTGTGTTAGCCAGGAGACCGAGATACATGCAATTCTTGAGTAAAATGGCAGATATCCAATGTTCCAAGAAATCTTGCTGACAAATTTTTTGTTGTGTCATGGTCTTATCTGAGTCACTTTGAAGAGAAATGAAATATCTTTCGTGTTGTACATTATCTGTGGTGACTCTATGAACAAAATTCTAAATCTGCTTGTATTATCTCTGTGACAGGAGGTCAGTACTTTTTTTACATATTACGAATTTATGAATGCAGTACCATAATAGCCCTGTCGCATCTCAGTTACAAAATAAAACTGAGAGCGATTTGGTGGAATTAGAATGGAATACAGTAATATAATAATAGTAATATAGTAATATTAGTAATATAATAGCACTCTGTATCCTATTACCCATTTGCAAGTCATCAGTGATGGTGTTTCAGTCTCCAAATATAACTTAAAATGCTGTTTGGCTAGGATAGTATGTGATATAAGATAGTTTGTATAGGAAAATGTTTTCTTTGCTTACATGACAGTATTAACGTGGGAATGAAAATCCTACTGACTTGACAAAATATACCCACAGTCATATATGAACTTGGAGATTATTTGAAGACTTCTGACCATTTTGAAGTGAAAAGCCTAGTCTGTCTGATCTGGTCTGGTCTGTAAAAACCTGATCTTTGCTTAGTCACTTAGAGGAGTCAGGACTTCACTGGTACAGGTTGCTGTGAATGACAAAGCTCTTATCCAGTGACTAGAAGAGTACTTGTGGCCAGAATAGCTGGCCCGGGAATGTTCCCGTCAGCTTTGTGAGGAGGAGTTATGAGTCATCTCCAGGGATTTTCTGTGCATCACTGAATTATGTGGCCGACTGTTTATAGACTGGACAGTTTTCGAGAAATCTGTGCTTCTCCAGTCAAATCCTGTTGCTGCCTTAGGTCAATGACAGATTTTGTAGTTTCTTTAAGGAGTCTGGGGGTTGAATACATGCTTGTCATCTTGGAAGAATGTACAGGTTGCTCATCCCATGCTTTTAACCAGCTATAGAACAAGTACTATTTACTTTGTGTGAGCAGAAGGTGGAAGGTTTGGTTAATACCTGTCTGCTCCATTAGCTGTGGTGGTGGTTTTTTGTCATTCCCTTCCTCCTCCCCAATTTGGGATTTCCCTGTGTATTCCGGAAAAGGTCTGGTGTTTTGGTTTTGAGGTTATAGTCTTTCAGGAAGCTGAAATCTCCCAGACTCTGCAGGCACACCAGTCTCTTCAGGTCCTAGAGTTATTGTTGAACCTGTGAACTGCATGCTGTGCTCAGGAAGAGAAAAAGCAGGAAGGATTTGCCTGTCCAAATATAAACTTCTGCTTTGGAGCTGGTTATCTTGGTTTCCTCATCAGTCAGTGAAGAAAAACAGGTGTTGCTGGGGTACGACCTACCCCATCCAAGGCAGTGTCTCAACAGTCATCTGGCTGCTGAGACCATCAGAAACAATGTGGTCAAAATTTCATCAAAGCAGGAGTTATTCATGCCAGGGCTAAATAATCCATGTTTTCTTTACAGGCTCAAAGCATCTTTTCCATTAGTTGAAAATTACATTATGTTTATTTGACCCATGTGTATTTCTTGACAGTAATAGATTGATTACTATTGTGACAGGTTTTCATTGTGTAATCTGTCGTTTCTTTCCCTGTGTTAATTGAACAGAGAAAGAAAATATGCATAGGTTAAGGAAGATTTTGGCTATTTTTAATGGCGTAGGTGGCCAAATGTCTGTCTGCGTGCATTCATACTTCATCAGCTGAGAACAAAACTGCAGGTTATCTGTTCATAAAAAGTCAAGAATAGCAGTCTCATTCCTGTTAAACAGTTGTTCTTATTTTAACCTTGTGCTGGCAGAGTGCAGTTTCTGAAGGACTCTGAATCTGAGTAGGGTCTTCACCGCTTCAAGCAGAGAGTTTTGTGTTACAGGAAACTCTGCATGGCTCTGTCTTTGCTTTAGCTCTCATTTTCGAGTGTGCCAAAAAGGATGGTATTCAAGGGTAGTCTCAAGAGAATAATCTTTCTCAATTAGCCAGGCTTGGTGAACAAATCCTGGCAATATTCCTCTTTCAGGATCTCGATAGAATACTCTGACATCTAATGTTTTTTCTAGAATATGGAAGCAGACTGGCAGAATTGCTGGAGTGTTAATTTACTACCTGGTGTCTGTCTCCTGGAGAGAAAGGAAAAAAACTGGAAAGCAGTAGTCTCCCACTGGAATCTTGGCTTGAGGTGAATAGATGAATGACAACATCTTTGTTCTGCAGTAGGGCTTGTCTGACCTTTCTTTCCTGTTGAGTTGTGAAACAACAAAGTAAACATTTAACTGAATGTGGCAGCCTGAGACAATTGGCCCTATTGTAGAAGGAATGCCAGTCCCTTTACTCTGCATAAATTCTCTTTGCTTGCAATGCTAATAGAGCTGCGGTGGAAGAAAGCCAGGCCTTTCATTGGGGAAGATCCAAGTTTAAGCAGAAATACAAGTAGTGTGTGCCTTGGTCAGTGGAAGTGTCCTGGATGCAGCAGGGCTGCCGAGGATCACCCATGGTCAGAGCCCTTTCAAAAATAGCAAAGGAAATCGATTTGCAGTGCTGAAATCTTCAAAGTCCTGCCATGAGGGTTGGTGGGCATGGTTGAATATGACACAATATTTTTTACTGATAGAACAATTCCAGAATGGAATTGCTGAGATGTGTTTCTTGTACAAAGAAACTTCAGACTTTTTTCCTTGATTTCATGGCACTGTCATGACTCTTCATTCCAAGCTGAGGTAGATTTCTTAGATCTGTCTCAAGTACAAGAGGTTTAAAGGTGGTATTGTAAAAATAATTTTTTGCTTCTCTAATAAAGAGCTTTACTGTAGGAGCGACTCCAGGCTTTTTTTTTTTTTTTTTTTGACATACAATAGCATTACTGCTGAACTTTTGGATTGTCTCCAGCTTCTCCAGAAAAACTACTTGAAAACTGTCAGGATCAAAGATAGAACGTACATACATACATACATACATATATTTTATATATGTATATATATATGAAAAAAACCCTGACCAACCAAAAAACCCTATAAGCCTCTTCTTGAAGAGTATTTAATTCACAACTTCCAAAGGCACAGTATTGGAAAAATGAAGATGATTTGATACTAGTGCTTCTTACTGTGAGGTAATTATTTTGTCATTTGAAATTTGTAAACAATGTCTGGGTTTCTTCCTGAGGATTTTATCCAGCTCACACTTGTTCTTTGCCTTCATAAGTGACTGTGTAAAACTTCAGGTCTCTGTGGTGTCTGATCACAGCAGAGTATTCCATTAATACTCTCAAGATTTAAATTCTAATGATTTTCTTTTTCAAGATCCACCTGTCAGACAAGTTTTGTTACTTAAAAGATTTAGCTCTGTACAAGTTTGAAGTGTGTGTAGCTTTTCAAGCGAAGTTGCAGAAACCTTTTGGAATCTCAAAACATGAAGGCAGTACAAGAGACAGATAAAGGTCTTGCCTCCCCATGAACCTTGTACAGAGTTGCTGATACTGGGACAGGGGAAGGGGTTTGGGGTTGCAGAACTGTGTAGAGGTGGGAAGGAAATAAAAGAGAGACTATCCTCTCCTGCACCTCTTCTCCTGGAGAGGACAGAAGGTATGTACGAGCCCAGGTGTTATTCAACTTGTGATGTTTAAGGGTTTTTTTTAATCCTGTCTTTTTCCCAGTGTTCAGCAAGTCAGTCATCTGTATGTATATGCAGCTTCTCACCAGGAACAGCTGCTCTGTGCTGCCCCGAGGACCTCTACTTTGTTTTTTGTGGGACTCTTAAAAAAGCCATTTCTTTGTTCTGTCTCCTGCAGTTCTAAAAAAGAATAGCAATTTAAATATGCTATCGGATGTTTTATGTAAGCCTAAATAATGCCTTATGGACAAGAGTATTGTTCTGAGTATATTTCTTCAGTTAGCTTTACTGTTATGAAATTTTCACAGCAGCTGCAGGCATATAGGCTCAGGATGGAAAGTATCTATTGTACAGGCTGTAACAGGACTTTCAACTGGGACGCAGACTGCCAGTTCCATAACTGTAACTTAGGCTTTAAGGAAAACATTGAGTTTTTGGGAGTGGGCTTTATACTGGTCTTTTACTCTTCAAAGGTATATAGACATGTCAATGCTACCTGAATTTCCATGAAATGAAATTATGAGATACCAAGGGGGAAAGAAGGGGATGTTAGTTTCAGTTTTCTCTTGTTAACAGGAGAAGGTTTTTACTAGAAATGAGAACTCGGTTTGTGTAAGAGAAATTTTTTTTCCCTCAATGAATATTATTCACTTGAATAACAAGTCCTGAGTTCTCAAACCACCTATTTAGCATTTTTATATGTCCTAATATTTGCCTAATAATTAGCGATTAAGGTGTAATACTTAGTTCTATTTAATTTCTGTGCTAAGAGCATTGCTTGGAAAAATAAGGTTAGTGACAAAGTAAGATATTTTGAATGTCATAATTTCGTGTTTCTTGTTCCTCAAAACTACCTTTTAGAGGGGGTTCGAGCATTTGGTGAGGATAAGTAGCATCCCATCTATGACAATTTCTAGCAAACTGAGATGTAGTCTCAGATATACTTACTTTCATATACATTTTGGAAGATAGGGAGCTGTTGTGCAAGAACGCTCTGAGTCAAACTTTGTCAGATTTGTCTTTCCACACTTTTTGTCAGCTGGCTTCTCTGAACAAGTGTGGCAGCTGGTCTGTTATTACACAGGAGCCTGTCTCTGACAGGAAGTGTAAGAGAATTGTACTGGCATGAGTTGAGGACAGCAGAGAATTGTAAATCAGGCAGGAGCTGCAAAATCCATTTAAATTTGGGTTTCACTAATTCTGCTACTCCCAGAGCTGCTTTCTTTGACAGATCAATAAACTCTGTTTTCTATGAAAATGGCAGCATGACAAGCTGTGTGGTATGTGTTCAATACTTCCTCCCTGGTCAAAAGAGCATCCTTTTCCTGTGGGGGGCAGGTCAGGTAGAAGTCAGTTTACAAAATCAAACTGACACAAGTGCAGCATTAGCAGAACAAAATTAAGTGGCCAGGAGAGATGTCCACTCCTAAGTAGCCGTTCTAGTACATGCCTCTCTATAGCAAACTATATGCACTAAAAATGCCTTGTAGTTAATGTGTTTCAGGAGCTCAGTTTGCAAACACACACATGCACAGAGGCAACAAGAGTTTGCCTCAGGGTCACATCCAGTTGCGTCAATTTGAATGGCATTCATTCAATTCATTTGGCTCCAAAAAATATAGTTTCATTAATGTTCATCCTAAGTGCAAATTTTGGGATAGATAAAATACGTATGTTATTTCCATATTAAAGGACAAAAGTCCTTAGGAGCGCTGCACTGCATCAGCAGATCCCTTCACATTATGGCCCCAGCATCGGCGCACCAGCATTCTTACTGGAAATGCTGTGTGTGGTAATTAGCATTAGCTTTTTTAAATATGTAGAAGTAGTATTGTCCCCACCAGAACAACAAAAAATGTTGCTCAGAAAACCAGTAATCAAATACTTAGTTATTTTTGTGTAGGATAAGGAGTCTCTTATGAGGATTATATGCTCATTCTTATACAAAGGTGCAGATTTAATCCAATGTTTGATGAAAGATTAAAACCACAAATTCCATTTAATAGTGGATCCCCAGCAATAAGCAGCTATGCCATTTTATGGCCGATGTCCAGCATGAGAGTTAATAGTAAGGACATATTTGTACCTGTTCCACAGTGAAGACTAACTTGAATATTGCCTGTAAGACAGGAATCAAACATTATGCGAGGAACATGGCTAAACATTATAAACAACAGCACTTAGTCTTGGAATGGATAAATTGTTTTGCAGTAATTTTGCTAATTATTGGTTAATTGGTCTAAAATTTCCCTGTAAAATATTTTACTGTAAATTCCTGATGGTCAGTCCTGGTTCCTCTATGTTACAATATTTGTTTGTTACAAATAATATGTGCATTTGGTTTGAAATAGCATCTGTCCAATACATTTATTTGCTGGTTCTTATTGCAAAATGTAACTCCACGATAGTATAGCTTTTGATTTACAGAGTTTATTCATATTTTTGGGACCTGGAAATATTGAGGGGCCTTTTTTTTGTTGTTGCATAGGTTGTTTTTTTTGTGTCTTCTGTGGGTCTGTCCTTGTCCCCTGTTCCATCCCCCTGAGTATGCTGACACAGTTTCAATAGTTTATCCGTTGGATATTACACAAATGGGGCAGAGGGAGAAGCATTGAAGTGCTTTGTAAATTCTGACTGTAATACAGTAATATAAACTCTACTGATTGGTTTTAGATTGACATAGGGTTTCCCGAGCAAGGCAAAAATATATGTCTTGATTCAGTCCAAAGCATCTTCTGAACTGGCCTAGGCCAGAGAGACAAGATGTTCCACAGAGCAAAAACCATATGATTAAAGAACATGAACAAACATAAAGTATATTATTAACAAAACACTAGACTGCATTTCGTGTTGGGTTTTCTGGCCTGGTGACCCATGGAGTTGACTCAAAAAGTTAACAGAGAGACAAAGGTCCAGTCTGATCTAACATAACTAATAATCACAAAAGATTCTCTGAAGCCTTCTTTCCTGTATGGGTAGTCTTAGAAAGCTGTTCAAACTGGTCCTGTATAAATACACCCCAGTGAGACTCTCTGCTCGGGAATGTGTCCTGAGAGAATGTTAAAGCTTCTGCTGAGGAGGGGTTTTACCCTGGTTCACCATTCTGTATGTGTCTAGCAATTAGGCTCCCTGTTAACTCCAGGCTCCTCATGCTATCAACAATATCTTAATTTCTCCCTTGTGTTCTGACTCACATGCCTGTCAGTGCCATCCTGTCTGTCCCACTTTTTGGCCTTTTCCATTTTCAGGATGTGGCTGAATCCTCCACATCCTGATCAGCAGCTGTCTAGGCCATGATCTGTGTGGGCAGACTTTGAGTCACTCTGTTTTGTGGTGAGGGTGGAGGTAGTTGAGGCATGAGGTGAAGGGTGTTTGAAGACTTGTGGAGTGCTTGACTAGCAGCTGACAAGAAATTTTGATCATAAACAGGTAAATAAGAGGGAGTAGTTTTGTCTAGTCAAGTCTTCCCTTACAGAAGACAATTGGGAAAAAAATGAACCTCTTTTGCAGTAGTTGATAGCATTGGGAGATTCTGCTCCTGGGCGTTTGCATGCCTTTGACCCCAGAAAACCTGGAGAGATCCATGAATCTTCACCGTGCAAAAGTTTCTTCAGGAAGTTCAATCAAAAAGTGTTGGAAGGGCTGTCTCTTATCCTGTCCACATGCATGCCTTTTCCTGGGAGGCTGGCCTTCTGTCCTCATCCTCTGTCAGCAGAGGGCTTTTACAAAAACTGCTTTCTGCTCTCTGGGCAATGTGTGTGAATCTCAGGAAGGGGAACATCAGGCCCATATGCATTTACTTTTTTACAAATGGACTTATGTATTTGAGATTTTCCATTTCAGGGTTGCACAAATACTATGATTTTTTCCATTGGTATTTAACGCTTTTAGCCAGAGATCTCTAGCTGTTGATTAATTCTTCTTTAGTGTTCCAGGCTCATCATATTAAACATGCATTTTAGCCAGGAGGGAGAGGAGCTGTGGAAGCAGTGGGAGTCAGATCCCTGACAGACAATGCACAGCTTTTCCTATACTGCCCATAGCATCACTGGGGAACTGTCTCCCCCTCACAGAGATGCCAGCTGCCTTCCTATCCCATCACCACTGTTAGTCAGCAAATGCACTCCACTCTTCCAGATCCAAAGTAGAAGATATTGTTAACGTGCTTCCTCTCTCTGCTTTCTTAACTAATTCTTCATTGTTAATGCTGAAACTGAGATTTTCCTGAGGCATTGTGGGCGTGAGGCTGCTTTGAATGCAAGGAGAGGTGCTGTGGAGCAGCACGTATCGGAGCTCCAAGGGGAGCCCTGAGGTGCCTCCTGGGAGCGGGAGTGTGAGTCCCAAGCTGCAGAACCGGGAGGGCTGGGCTGTCAGTGCTGCTCCTGCTTGAGTCACTCTTAGCCAGCAGCAGGTCAGCTGGGGGACGGCTGCAATCTGAAAGGAAAGCTCAGATCTCGCCAGCCAGCACACACGGCTCCAAGAGCAACTATCTAGATTTCATCAGCGTCTTGTATTGTCTCTCTCAGAAATAGTATTCAATTGCAAGTAATTGGTAGTGCTCTGGTTTCCTGTGGCTTTCCACCTATTCATTTGTGTTGGGTCAGCTCAACTGCTTTATAAACATGGACATGTGCTTGAAATCTGATGAGCTTGCAACACGAAAGAAAATTGACAGTGCTTTTAGATCTCAAACACCAGAACTGTGGGGCTTTCTACCAAGCTCCGGTTCAGGTTTGCATGTAATAGTGAAATTAAAACTTGGCACTTCTTTCAGGCTCATTTAGAGAAACTGTCCCTAAGTTCTGTAAGAATTAAAGGACTAAATTATCCTTCAGTGCTTGCGTTCTTCAAAAAAAGGCAAATATGTTGGAATCCTGTAGCAGCCAAGAGGTAACAGTGAAGTCAGATGGCCTGGAAATTTTTTCATGTGTCCTCGGTATGAAAATGCCTTGAAGTTTCACAACAAAATGGCAAAGGTAGCTCACCATGACCTGCTTTCTAACCCTGGGACAAGATTAAATTTGAACTAGTGACAGATATCAGAGTATTTGCTTAAGCAAACACTGTAATAGTTAAGTCTTTTGGCATGTTCAGCCACCCATTTCTACTTGATTTGCATGATAAAATCTCAAGGAATGGAATAGAAACACTTTTAATTCATAAAGTAACAATCATCTAGTTCTTCGAGAATGTTCTGTCTTTATCCTGAAATGTTCTGCTGATTTTTCTGTAAGTTAGATGGAGTAAAAAACGGCAAATTTACCATCTTAACTGTGGTTTTCTGATTGTATCCATATTAGATTAAGCTACAGCTGTGTTTACTTAATCCAAACATTTTTAAATTAAAATTGCTTTGACTTGGAGTTCTATCACTATTATGTCACAATTTTTTATTTACTAGCAGAGAAATTCTAGTCAGAGGCCATAAGTAACATTTTTATTGTGTCTTCATCTCTTCTTGCAAACCCTCCCAATTTCTTAATGACTCTTAAACTTTTTCCTGTTTTTTAATAAAGTTTTCCATGGTACACACTTAGAGGTATTTTAGCTATTTCCTGGCTATTGTCTCCAAATATTTGAGAGATTATTTTGTCCCAGTGCCCTACTGCACTGATATTGAACTTTATCTTGCAGCTCGGCATCCTCCCAGCTCAGTGTTCATCTGTGAACAGAACTTTGCCACCTTTGACTTAGCTGTTCTGGGCAGTCAGTGGCTGTGGAGGCCTTCAGTGAAAATGTAAGTGCCTGTGGCTTCCTGGAAACCCGAGGAGTTTGTCGAGAGTGTGATGGATGGGCTGCCAGGTGGTGCCTGGGTGGCAGCTGCTTTTGGAATGTCCTCCCTCCTGGTGCAAAAAGAGAGTTCCCTTTCCCACCTTCGGACAGGTGTTGAGCTTTTAGTTCTGGATTGTCCTGTTTGTACTTCTAGAGACCAGCTTTCTCTCTCACCTATGGAACTTGTTTTTCAATGATTTGCAGAAACTGAGTGTTGGCAATCAGATTTTCAGACATCTTGTAGGGCTCTGGGGTACTATTTAAACAACAGTCTGAGTTGTTTGTGTTAATCTAGGATATGGTATACATCATCTTGCATTCCAGAGCAGAAATAATCATAAGAAACATCTACCTTTTCTGTATTATTGTTGACAGATTTTACCCTATGAATGTCCTAATGGACAGTCTGATTATTACCGATGTTTTCATAGTTTGATGCATTTGTTTTTATACTAATGTCCACTTCTGATAGTTTTTTGTCTACTGGAAGGTAGGGTTGTTTTGGTTTGGTTTTTTTTTTTTTTTTTTTTCAATGGTTCCTCACCAACTCTTACTTCTGTTATCTGTTTCTGAAGCTGGTTACGTATAGTTGCTACTATTTGTTAGCTCCTTTCTGGTTTTCATTAAACTTGAATTTCCATGATTGTCATTATGACATTTGGGACAAGTGCTTTCTAATTAAATTCAGCTCTTTTGAACTGCCCTGATTTATAGGATCTGACCAAGAAAAGACATATTTTAAATATAATTTGTGATTGCTAGAGATGCACCTTTTCCTCATGCAGATATAGTCAGCAGCTCAAGGTTTGGCCACAAACCTACTTTGTTTCTTGTTTTTCAGGTCAAAGTAACATCCAGTCAGACTTTGCATGGCATGAGGCAGAAACAGGATTTTCTAGCATGGTGAGTACTTGTAGAGTCAACAGGCTGATGATTTCTAATGACCAAGAATTCAGGAGACACTGTGTCCTAAAAAGCAAAAGGGGGTCAATAATCTGCTGAGTAAATTCTGTTTCACCTCTACAAGTTTTATAGGTGGCTTCAGGGAGGAGTTTAGGAAAGGAGCATTGAGGAATGACTTAATTTGAGCTCTCATGATGATTGATTGAAAGGAGTACTCCCAGGGGGAAGTTCACAAATGGAGTTTGAAGGAGTTGTTTAAAATTATAATATGGGTAGGGATTTAATGACAGTGTTCATGAGAAGACCTTAAATAGGGATCATGTAGCAGAGGATGTTTTTCCCTTTAGCATTCGCTGTCTTTGACTTCAATTGTAAACTCTTTTGTTTTGTTACTTTGCTAGATGTAGACTTTTCAAGCCTCTTTTGGCTTTTTTTTTTTGTTCCAGAGCTGAACATAAACCAGAAGTGTCTCTTTTACCAAGTTTTAGTTTGCTGCTTTTCCAGGACATTTTCATTGGATGGTTCCAGGAATAGCTAGAAAAGACCTTGCAAGATCACAGAGTTTCTCTATGTCATCTCCTTGGCCCAAGGCAGGATCTAATAACACTAACATGCTCTCAAGCATCCTGGAAGATGAACTTAAAAATCTCTAGTGACAGAGACTCTCCTATCTTCCTAAGCATTTTAAAATTTTTTTTAATAGAAATTTTTGCCCCATCTAACTTATAAATGAGAAATAATATAAATAAATAATCTAACATGATTTCATTAATTGTACAGGAGCACTCAAGATTTGACGTGGGCAGCAGAGGGAGATTTTATGAACTTGACTGCTGTAGCTTTATTTTGTGTTCCAGTGCAACTCACCTTATGAAAGAAGGCATGATTAGATTTTGTGTAGTTTGCTACAATAATGACCCTCCTCCCTGCTCACCTTTTTGCCTCTTTGATTATCTTTAAGGTTCTGTGCCCTGAAGAATTCTCATTTATTCTTATGTGTTTTCCTGGTCTTTGCTTGTGCTGGTTTCATGAATAAAAATTTATTTCCTGTCTCCAGAGAGGATTGTTAGTAAAACCGGTGTTACAGAAATACAGATGAGAGAGAGAGACAGGAAAGGGACTAAATTAGACCCAGGTAATGCACAGATAAATAATGTGCAGATTCGGATCATATTTCACATCAGGGCATACAGTAATGATTTACCTCAGAAGGCATAATGCCTTAAAAAAACACATGTAGAAAGTGTATTTACTGATATTGTTTAATATTAAGTACCAAAGGAAGCACAGTGAATGCCAATTATTTTATCCAAACTCTGAATATCTGTCTATGTAGTACTTTTTCTTGCAGTATAGCCTGGGATCAGTGTAATATAGCAATAGGAGTCTGGGAAAGCCACTATTTAGAAAGTGCTTTAAGTCACTTTCAAGCTGTGAGGCAAAGAGGGCAAGTGTCAGTACCTATTCAGAGGAAGAGATAGGTGAGTGAGTCAGATTTCCTGGCTGTGGATTGGATCAGTAGTGGTGAATTTTTGGGTGGGCAGAAGCGGGCACTCCAATGTAGAGTGCAGGGCAAGAACTGTTCAGAATGGAATTGTTTGTCAAATGCATTTTTTCAGAGCCAGGCCCTTCCTACGCAGTAGCCAATCCATTACAAATTCAGATTTCTCTGGTAACTGCATGTTATTTGATTTCTCTGAATGCTATGATACAATTAATTTCTTGGGATCCAGGTGCCTGCAGTACACTGCTTCTGCAGCAGAAGTAATTACTTTCTCATTAAGCCTAAAAAATTAGTTACAATATCCATCAAAGTGTACCTGCCTACAGGCCATTAATTCATTTTCATTGGAACCAAACCCCTCTGCTATGGTCTGTTGATGCACAAGAATTCCATTCACAGGTCTCCAGTCAGTCCCCCTCTGCTCCAGAATGGTCAGTAAGTGCCACTTTAATGGCTTCCTTTCCACTTGCTCCTTGGCTAAAGGAAAGCAATAATATAATGTTCAGTGATGCAGCAGATGTTTCAAAGTCCTCATCAATGAGGAGACTTGGCTTACTTTGAGGTCTGACCTCCAATTTTGTATACAAAGGTCATGGCTCTTGTTGGAGGGATCAATCAATAGATCAGTGTATCAGGCTCAATGCAGAAATGCTACCCAAACAGTATACAGGGAACATTTGCATAACTTTGTGTATTTGCTGTAGCAGATAGTTAATCTGGGTAACTTTGCTGCCTGTCCCATTTCTCTTGCTCAAGAGCATTAGCAAATGTTTATTTCACAGAATGTTCTGTTCCTCTCCTTTTTTTCCTTTTTTTTCCTTTTCTTCTTTTTTTTTTCCCCCCCTTTTTCCTCTTTCCTAAGACAATGCAGGCAAAGCTCAGAGCAACTCCAGGTTGGAAACATCATGATGCAAATTGGATGGATGGGGAAAGAGTAGAAAACAATGGTCTGCCAAACAGGGAAAGAGTCTTTAACTAAAGGGTAAGAAATCAGAAGAGTGAAGATACTTACAGCACTTTGACTCATCTGAAAACATGCAGCAAATGGAATGCCAAGGTGAATAGGCTATTTAGACCAGTAGAAGTAAAAAGCAGGCTTGTGAATAGCAGCAACCAAGTGTCCACTAATACCCCCTGATGGAAACAGCCCTGCTATCTGGTCTAGTATAGCTGTCTTCCTGTTATTTTAGTAGGAGGCTGGGCTTAGAGGATCTCACTAAAAGATCTCCCAAACCCTCAATACTAGTCCCAGAGGCATTGCTTTCCAGTAGATCAATTCATCAGTTTTCTTCAAATGCTATTCACACAATGCATAGGAAGTGTGGCACATGATACAAGTCGTTATTGTTACTCTGTGCACATATGATGCCAAGCAAGTGGTAACTACCAATGCTGGTTAACACTTGAAAGTGACAGAAATCCTGTTGGGAGTGGGAAATGACAGCCTATCAAGTGACTTGTCAGAAACAAACATTTCTCTGATAAATGGCGAGTGCTGGAATGCACTGTCAGAGATGGGCATTTAGGAGGGAAACAAAATAAGGATAAGATGCTGAAGCCTGTTATCCCTTGATATGACCATGCTTCAGGAAATTTTGTACTCACCACCCAGGAAATGTTCTCAAATTTAGTTCCCACAGGAGAATTTGCTGAGCTATATACGTTTGTCAAGTCAGAATACACTGCCCCTGCTTGTTTCTACGGTCTGTACTCCAGTGCTTTTCAGGGTTGCTTTGGTGTTTTAGGCAGACAGAGGCCCTGGAAGAGACTGCCAAGCTTTGAGAGCAGCCTGGGGTGTCCTTTTTCTGTTTCTTCATATCTGCTCTTTTCTCTGCCTTCAGTGGATGCAAGAGGCAAGGAAGGCTGTCTGGCTTTGGGGCCATCCAGGAATATTACAGCACCTGTCTCTATTTGTTTACACTGCGTGGCTGTAATGCATCCCAACATCTATCTGTCTCCATAAGGTAACTGATTGTTTGGGATGGTATGTAGTAGTCTATACCTTGTTGTTTGATATTTTCAGGTAGAAAGAGGATGACAGCCCCTGCCTCTCCTGTCTGACAGGCACTCTGTATGAATTGAAGAGGCTAAATTAAAAACAGCACAAGTGGACTTTCTGGTTTTTCTTGATAACTGGTATAAAGGAGAGAAGGGAGCAGTCTGTGCACTGCAATTAACATCAAGTGCTATTGCAACTCATCCTGTAATGCAATATAGATACAATCTCAGCAGAAAATTGAATGCTGAGCTGAGCCAGAAACATAGAGCAATGCTGGGTTTTGAAGAAAGTAATTAGCCCCAGGGACCCAGTGGTTTCTCATTTCCCCAGTGGCAAACACAGGGAAGTGGGGCAGTATTTCCAAAGTCAATTTAGACAAGACACAGAGCCTATTTATAAACCACAGTTTTAACGACTGCTTAGCAAGATGCAGGCTCACCTCTGGTCTTCCTGGAGTGTCCATCACATACCAGTGCCAGGCTGCTTTGCTTTTGTGAGCTCTGGGTACCCCATCTCTGTCCAGGCACTGAGCCAGCCCAAGCCCCCGCCAGTGCAGCTAGTGGAGAACAGCCCAGTGCAGCAATGCTTGGGCATCCTTTGTCAAGGGCGACGGTGTGTGACAGACCTGCCAGGGTCACTGTTCACCATGCTCTGCCTGCAGCCATGTGCTGTGACCTGCCCTCTGCATGGTGCCTCATCCGACCACCTCTTCCTGTCAGCCCTGGGTACAGCAGTGGCCTGGCCCTTCCTTGTGCTGCCCTGCACTTGGCAGTGAATCAAGGTTTTCCAGAACTCATTGATCACATTAGTTCTGCTTTCCTTCTCCAGTAGAAGATCAGAAGTGTATGCTGAATCCCAAAAATAAGACAGCTGATAGCCAAGAAAATTTTAATCTTACTAAATACAGGACATACTGGATTAAAGCTGCAGCTCACAGTTAATACAAGAAGCAAGGAATTGAGCTGTTTAGGTAACATAGAAGGGATTAGAGTAGTCTCTATTTATGCTCCGTCTTTAAATGAGAATTTAGTTTAGAGCTAAAATATATGCAGCCTGTGCCTGCTATGGGTGACTGGAAGATCCTGCATCCAGGATTCTTGCTCCTGCTTTCCTGACATACTGCTTATCACCTTTCTGTTGTTTGTGACATCCAGAATAAAATCTTTGGGGCATAATCACATCTTTGACTCTTGTGAAATGTATAGTCAATTTCAGGCATTGCAGTGAAATGAAATAATTTATTTCAGTGAGTTTGCCACACTGTTTTGTTTGTCTGTACCTCTTTCCCCAAAGCTGCACCCAACAGCGACACTTAGCACCAATATCTTGCATGGTACATATCTTACATGCCTGCAGTTAACACTTTTGTCAGCATTTGTCCAGAAATGCATGGCCAATGTAGCCTAGTCTGTGTATTGCCTCAGAGGAGAGTTTTTCCTCAGCCTTCTTTCATTCAGGTGATGGGTAAAACCCAAAAGATGATAAAGATCATCTTCTGAAATATAATTACTTTTCTGGTTCTGTATCTTAAAGTATTGGTTGTAGGAGCTTGGAAGTAAATGCAAATTTCATCATTTGGACTCTTAGAGCTGTAGGACTGTGGCCTTCTGATCCCAAGCACATTCTCAATCTTCTGAATTCTGTAAGTGCCCTCTAGTGACTAATTCTTTGAACTGTGTTGGGTTCTCATTGGTGAGAGACCAGCCACTGAAGGGTGGTTGAATGGTGAGGGCAGGAGCTGGGTAAATGCCCTCTTATTATTTGAGGCCAGCACTACTTTGTCTTGCAGAAGCAAACGCTTATTGAGCAGTCATTGCACAAAGCCTTGGACAGCAAACGACTGAGTGCGCACATGTTGCTATCGTGGAAATAGCACATCTGAACTGAAACATGAGTCACTTCAGTACAAACTAGTGGAGGAAAAGCTATTGGGCTGTCACTGCACCATACTTGAATGGTTTAGGCGAAGTGTGATGTTAGTGAAATTTTCCTGAATATTAAAAATTCATGTTCTTATCTTCTATTGTAGTTTGCTGTGTTGAATTTATTTTCTCAATGAATTAACAACTCAATTTTAATGCAAATGGATCAGTGCTGTTAGCACTGCTTTTCATTCTGCAGCAAAATGCTGTTTTTTATTTCTGGTGATGCTTCTAGTGTGAGTTTCTTGGTTTTGTTTTTCCTTTTTCTAAGTAAAAATTCAAGTGCCCTTTTAAATATTTAATTTCATCCATTAATATAGCCAGTGTAGGAGTTCAGTTCAGGAACTGATTTATCTGGGTTATTAAAGTCATATGACAATATGCTGAGGGCCAGATATGGAGGTAGTGTGCAGACTGGCATATATAAGATTTCTTTATGTTCTTACATTGTATTAGCCACCCACCAACTTCTTTACGCCTACTCAGTTAGCTTGTAAGGGATTCTAGGGTGGTGTAATTTATGTGGTAAGTTCATCTTACCATATAAGCATTAAGAACACATAATTAAAATGCAACTCACCTAGTTTGAACTTGCTTCTTTTTTTCTGTCTTACACTGTATTTGCACTGTGTTCAATACCATAGGCCTCATTGGCATGACTGGGAATTTACAGAAATATAAATTCTTCTTCAACTGATATCATAAATTTTGTGGAAAGCAGAGTTTCTGAAGGAAGAGGGGTCAGGTGTGATCTTTACGGGCCTAGTCTTTCCTTGATGACTTTGCTTGTATAAGAGCATGCTGTGCTGTAGGAAATGGAGGAGAACTTGCAGAGTGTGTGCGCAGGTCCCTCTGCAGACATTAAAACTTGGTAACTCATCATTCTGTCATTGAGCGTAGGTTAATCTTTGCTCCACCACTCATATGGCCTTTGGGTGTTCTGAAGCAGCAACCCTCAAGCACCAAAAAACTTTCACAGTGAGTCTGTTTGGTACAGACTTTGTATCTCTCCCCCTCAAAAAATCAAGTCATGTTTGGAAAAGAAGCTGCCAGTTCCAGGTGGATCACTGAATGTTATTGTAGATCCACTGAACAACATTGTGGATCCACTGAACTGAACTGAATGATGTTTTAAATTAATTTTAAGACAAAACAAGGAAAAGAAACACCCAACATCACACAGCCAAAATCCTGTTCTTTGAGAGGGAGAACAACATACCCTCTGTTAGTGTCTTGCACAGAATTTCACTCGACTGGAGCTAATGTTTACTTCAGAGAAAAGGATTATGAGGATAGTAAGAGAGGTTTCCAAGAAACATAGGAACGGTCTGATCTGAGCAGGGCAAATAATGAGGCCTGCTGGCAAATGAAACAGTGAGCCTAACGTCAGGCTGTAAATAAGCAGAAATGAATACGCTGTCAGAAGCTGCTTTGTGGACAGACTTAACAAAAATGTTTAGTGAATGCAAAAGGTCTTGCACGCAGAGAAGGTAGGAGGGAACAGCACAGATTCATAGCAGTAGGTATTCATCACCAAAACCTGCTCTTTTGAACACTGTTGGGTTAAATTAGTATGAAATAAATGAGTACGTTTACATTTCAACAGCAATTTCTGTGCAAACTCACAGAGGAGAGGAGATTTGTGGTTTCTGTTTTGTCTAAGGCCCAAAGGATGCTAATAAATGAATACACCGCAGGAACTGCTTTTGTTCTCTCCTTTGTCGTTACCCTGGGAAGGACCAGAGTTACTTGTCCCACTGTTCCCAAGTGGACAAACTGTGCTAAATGGTGTAAGAGGTCATCTTTGTAAGTTTTGAGCAGACATTTTTATTTAATTGACCATGGAATAAACATGAGTTTAATGTCTCAAATATGTTTACGAGGAAAAATCATTGTATAAAATGGCCATGACTGCCTGCCAGCATTAATAATGTAACCCGCTCTCCATGCCCAGGTGGAACAAAAAGTCATCCTTGATGTCAGGGAATGGAACTCTCAAGTGCTGTGTTCATTTTCCCAGTGTTCGCAGAGCTCTCTGACACGGGGTGGTGGTTGGACTGAGGCTGGCGGGAGCGTGAGCTGTTGTGCTGTGTTGTTGCTTGTGGTCACTGAAGGGATGGCTGACTCTGGGTCTTTATCAAAGAAGGCAGTTAACAACTGTGGGTGGTGTGACAGCCATAGTCTCAGCCCATCCAGTTGTCCCTGAGCACCACAAGCTGGGGGTGAGCAGTAGCTGGTGTTACTGCAAGTACTGCTGATGGTAATGGCTCCTCCCAGCAACTGCTGTCTCTTGCCTCATTTGTCTGATTGTTTTGGCAGGCAGCAAAAATGCCATCTTTCTGCTACAATAAATTCTATGATAAATAAATACTAACATATACTAAGGATTCAGGCAGCTAAGGATGCTTAATGATTACGGCTCCAAATTTGAAGTATTTTAAAAGTAGAGCAGACTGCACTACATAATGACATCTTTGCAAACCACGAGGAAATTTGAAACATGAGCACAAAATATGGCCCTATAAAACAAAATTGCTGAATTCCTTTACCCTAGGAAGGGGAAGACTCTGAAACAGAAGAGAGAAAAGTGCAGCATCTTCTGCGGCATCTGCTCTACAGGCCTATCGAAAAATATCTCTGCATCGCCTAAAAGTCTTCCACTATCCACTATCACGATCCACTTCCGCAGTGCTTACAGTGCCAATGTGGAGATGAGGGGTCCGGCAGCACGCACCTGTCTTGGGCAGCATCGCTGCAGAGAACGGTGCAGGCAGTGCGGCAGTGGATGGTTTGACGTGGAGTCGACTTCCCTACCCTGGTGCCTGCTGAGCGCTGCCTTGGCCACGAGGGCTCCTTCGGGTGGGCCCGTGGAATGGGGGCGGGCCCGGGGCCGGGACGTGAGGGGGAGCCGCGCGCAGGGGCAGCGCCGGCTCGGCCCCTCCCGCCGCTCCCGCCGGCGAATCGCGGGGCACCGGCGCGGGGGCGGGACGGCGTCCGCAGGGCCGGGCCCGCGGCGCAGTACGGGCCAGGCCGAGCGCCGGATGCCGCCGGAGGTGAGGCCGCCGGGCGGGGCGGGGCGGGGCGGGGAGCGGAGCGGCGGGTGCCGGTGGGCGCGGGGGTCTCCGCCCGCAGGCGGCTCGGGGCGAACGAAAGGCCCGGGGCTGTGAGGGGCCGGCGGCCACGCCCCGCGGCGGTTGCGCAGCACGGCTCGTTCTCGGCTGACACAAAGGAAGATAAAGGAAGACCTAGCATGAAGTGAAAATAATAGATGAGTATAAGGAGATAATACCTGTGTGCAAATGGCGAGGTATAATAGTGATGACGGGGGCTGCTAGCACAGCTGCGTTGTCATGTCTCTGTGAAAGGGTTGTTAGAGCAACTGTCGTGAATCTGATTAGGGTTTTGTTATGTCTTTTTTTAGGTATCTCTCTCCTCATTTTTAACAAATTCTCACTGTGACGAAGTTACTTTGTCCTGAAAGCTGATAAAGGTACTCCTGCAAAGTAAGTACTCCGTGAGAGACATGAGTCATAAGAAGTTCATGGTATGTGGCAGAAACAGTGTCAAGGGGAATGCTGGTGCAGACATCTTCATGAAGTCTCCATATGCTTCTTCAGTTGGTCTGTATGGGGGACTTTATGGTTAATGAGCTTTCCCAGCAAGATGCAACTTGCTGTTAGTGCTGTGTGAGATGGGTGTTGTCAAGGTGTGTAGTTGCAATTATGAACTGCCTATTCTTCTCTCTTATGTGATATGCATCTTGGTCTGAAGAGGAGCAGTCTTGAGGAAACCCTTGATACAGTGTTAACAATATTTCAATAGATATCTTTTCACTCTCATCCTTCCTTCTTCTCCTCAGGCCCCAACTGCACTCAAGTTACCCCAACTGCAATCTTCTGTGAGATGCCTGGCATTTAGTTTTGTATTGTGCAGTGTTTTGTATTGTGGAATGTGTCTCTGGATGCCTGTGTGCAGCTGGGGATTGGTCTGCGTAGGGCATCATCCACCACGCTTAAAAACTGTTGCATCAGTGTGATGGTAAACATGGGCTTACGGGGTTCTGCTTTTGAGGATAGTTGGGGATATGCAACAAAGAGTGGCTTTGTCTAGACTCAGGGCTACAGGAAAAAAGACCAGTGTGTGAAATGCACCAGAGGAGGAAGCAGAAAACGTGAGATTTGTGGGAGTTCTGTACAGCCAAAGTAGTAGAACAGCTGGGAGTTTTTTCCCCTGGGGGACTGTAATCAAAAAAGTAAGAGACTTGTTTTGCTTACTAGAGTCCAGCTGTGAGGATTTTCCTGAAGAAGTATGGGGTGATGTGGAGCCATCCTTTTGCAGCAGCAGCCTTTGATCCATGAGCAAGGAAGCATAAAGAAAAGAAAATAAACTGTTTCCATTTCTGGCAAAAAGAGGCAAGAAATCACATGTGATTTGTTTAGGCAGCAGATCTGTTGGCATCTATCTGATGCTATTTTGGAAACCATTTGGCTGTTTTACCCACCACACTGTGCACACTTTAGCTATAGGAGTGACTCTGATGAGATCTAAGGAGTCTGTCCAGCATGCCATCAATCATGGCCAGTCTTCACGAACGAAGATTTGGGAAAGGTCTTTACCCTTCGAGCCTGCGCAATGGATTTTTTTTTTAGGTGAGATACAGTGTGCGCTGAACTGAGCCCACCCTTTAATCCTAAGGTTCATCTGCCGGGGCTGAGCGAGCTTGGACGGTGGCAGTGAGGTCCTCAGGACGTAGGTTTGTTTAGAGTGACCTTCTCTTAGATGGATGGCCTTACAGAGCTGATGAGTTCCATCTGCCCGGAGGAGTTCCCTGACCGGGAATCGAACCCAGGCCGCGGCGGTGAGAGCACCGCATCCTAACCACTAGACCACCGGGGGTCCTCAGTATGGCGCCATCAATCACTGAAAGAGGAATAGCAGTGCTGGGGTGGCTTATGGGGTATGTATTTGCTTCTCATTAATTAGTTTGAAAATTCAGTTCCTAAGGATCAGATGCTGTCCTTGCAGCAGAGATATCTCTGTTGAATTCAGAAATGTAAATAGGAGGAAAACCGAAACTGGACATTGCAAAAAAGTTTTGCGTTAAGCCTTGGCCTCAGCATAGGCAGCAGGATTGGTAGGATCAGTACTGAAAGGGTTTTATACCAAGGGGATTTCATGTTGCAGCAGGGGTCTGGATCTGCTGCCAAGCCACAGCTGTGCTTTATTGTAAACTTAGACTGAGGTTGAGATTTATCTTTTTAGCTTGAGTGAATTTAACTCAAGTGAATTCTAGATAAATGAAAACTCACTGCTATTATGGAAACTTCTGGGAAGCGTGACATGTCTAACTGTTAATTGTTAATAAATATTTCAGTCTACCGTGATGGTAGGCAATACCTAGATAACCAAGATAGTATCTCTGGTGTCTTATTTGTGCAAAGACGGAGGAGACGTGCTTGTAAAACACCTTGTGTTGAGAGATGGAAAGAAGAGGTTGTAAATAATACGAAGGCCACACTCCATATGTGAAACATTGAGAAATGTCTTGAACTTCAGTAAAAGAAATTAAGCAAGTTTTTCTTACTCAACCATTGTGTTCTATTTGTCTTCCAGACCCTTACCCGTGATGATTCCACCATCTGCAACCAGCCCTGTCAGTGATGCTGCACTCTTGCCAAGCGTGGCTTCTCAGGAAGTGTGGAGGTCACCAGTTCCAGGCTATTCTGGATTGGTCACACGGCACATAAGTCATCGGGCCAACAACTTCAAGAGACATCCAAAAAGAAGAAAACATATCCGCCCTTCGCCACCACCGCCACCAAATACTCCATGTCCTATTGATTTGATTGACTTTGGGGATCTCCAGCCTCAGAGGACTTTCTTGGAACTCCTGTTCAATGGGTGCATTCTCTTTGGGCTTGAATTCAGTTATGCCATGGAAACAGCTTATGTTACCCCTGTGCTGCTTCAGATGGGGCTTCCAGACCAACTGTATGGAATGGTATGGTTCATCAGCCCTATATTAGGTAACTTTGCTTTACACTATTTCTTCCCTCTTATTTTTTCCACTGCATGGTGGTTATGTTTTTTTGTTTGTTTTCTCTACCTCATCTGTTCATAAGTATATTCCGTTGAGGTTAAGAAGCACTAGCCATAATTTTACACAACCACATCGGAGAATAATTCTTGCTGCGTCTTGCCTGAAATAGGCCAAGTGTGCTCAAAAGATCTGTTTTTTTAATAGCTTCTCAACCTCATAAACCTTTTGCAAGGGTAAGCTTTGGTTGCTCTGTTCCTGTATTTAAAAAATAGCAAAACAGGATCACTATATCCATTTATATCCCTATGAAAAAAGCATACAGAGACAGCTCCCAAGGGTGTGTGAGAAAAAGCAGAGTTGGGTTGCCTTCTCCTGTTTAACTTTCTGAAACAAATAGGCTGTTCCAATGAAGAAAGACCATTGACCGCTGCTGTTACGGGCATTGGATTACATGCCTTAGCACAGAGGCAGGGCTGGGACTGTATCCATCACTGCTTTTGTACTCATGATATGCTTCATAAGAAGAAATAGGCCCCTACTAACAGGCTGGCCCAGATTAATACACTCACCTTTCCTACTTACGAATTTGCTTGCTGTCTTCCAAGCTAATCCTGCAGGGGATCTCCCATCTGACGTGGGATAAATGAAATAGCTTATAAGGAACAGAATGCTTGAGAATGTGTAACTGTTGTACTCTAACTCTTCACCTGGTGTCAAACTCCTTATTATTGATGCAGAGTGAACTGCCACGTCAGTGAGCAGCAGCAAATTACGTTATTCGGTCCCTGTTCAGGGAAATGCCAGGCAAGATGCTGTGTGTGACCCTAGATGACTGGTGCTGACCAGACATACCACTATGCTATGGTGTCCTGCCTTTAACTGCCTTTTAAGACCTCTCTGAAACAGGCTTGTAGAAAAATCCTGTTTATTGGTGATTCCTTTTTTCTAGGATTTTTGCTACAGCCTTTGCTGGGAGCCTGGAGTGACAGATGCACATCAAGATATGGGAGAAGAAGACCTTTCATTCTGGTCTTAGCAGTAGGTGTGTCTTTTAGAAACTATGGGCATAACACTTGTAGACATTGTGCATCTCTCTTCTGTGACATCCACTGTGGCACTACCTCCTGAAGTGTGGGGAACTGTGGGTCTGAAGAAGGTGGTGAGTGACACCAAGGTTATGCTTTGGCTGCTGGAGATCCATGCATAAAAGCTTCTCAGAGTCTGAAGGGATGGTGTTTCTGAGGGTCAAGAATGTGGGGGTTTTTGGCCAAAACAAACTGTAGACATTTGTTAAGCTCAAATAATGGAAAAAGATTATGTGTATCCTATAAGCCATGCTCATTCCCCAGGCTGTGTTGATCTGAAAAAGAGCAATTAGTGCTTGCCACAAAGCTGTGCAGGTAGTATAATGCCTTTGGAGCCTGGAGCTCTGCAGGCTTCTTTTGCATACAAGCAGTGACTGATTTTGATTTGGTTTTATTCCCAGGGGCATTGCTTGGCCTCTCACTTATGCTGAATGGCAAAGATATAGGGAGTGCCTTGTCTGACACTGAGAATAACCACAAATGGGGGATCATTCTTACGGTCTGTGGTGTTGTCCTCATGGACTTCAGTGCAGATTCAGCAGACAATCCCAGTCATGCCTACATGATGGATGTATGCAGCCCAGTGGATCAAGACAGGGGCCTCAACATCCACGCTTTGTTAGCAGGTATGCTTCCTTGGTACTTCCTGGGTGATGTTAACCCTAAGTAAACAAACTCTGCTGTGAGAAAGCAGAGTCAAAATCACTGGACTGTTCCTGTATAAGCATAATGACCAAATATGGAGGAAATAGCACTAATTAACTTTGAAAAAAACCTTCTTACTGCAAAAGGCTTTTGTAACTACTGCAAGTCAAACAAGACTGGTTTGTTCATCTGAAGGTCCCTCACATAATTTATAACTCCTATGAAAACAAAATTGTCCTTTGAGGGAGGAGGTTTAGCTTCCTACGGGTGTGGAATATGTGTCTTAGTTGCTCTGTTGGAGGAGAAAGTGTATACTGGGTGCTGTGATCCCTCACTGCTGTCATCTTCAGTTGTAGTACTGCCCTGTTCTAGGAAACTATTTCACACTCTTGAATGTGTTCATAAGTAAGAAAGGATAGTGTTGTAAGGCTCTCACCATACGAATGGAGTGAGAGAGGTACCTGGTGCTCTCACAACTCCCACATTCATCAGTAGTGATGCCGTGGCAGTTTTGTACGCTGTCAACACATTGCTGACTAATGAGCTTGCTACACTTCTGAAGTGATTCGATCTGTCTTGGATGCAGTTAGATCTGCGTTCCTCTAACTGAGTGAGGAAAATGGATTTTCACTTTCAGGAAAACAGTCTTAGCTGAATGATTGCAGAGCCTTGTCATAAGGCTGGTGGACACTTCTGTTTACGGACTGAAATAGCTGAAGGTAAGGTGTTTTGTTCTTGGCAAAGAAAGAAGTATTATTTTTAGTTATTTGTATCATCGCTTTTACAGCACTTTCTCCCTCTTTTTGTACCGTGTTGGTACTCCAGACTGTCCTTGTGGCACAGGTAACTGTGTTTATTACTACATTTGAAGAGAAAAGGGGTTGAATGGTAAAACAGAAATAACACGTTGGATTCTGCTCATGAATCATTAGACAAATGATGCTGTGCTGCTACTGACTCGTGGGATTGCATAGGGAAGATAATCTTGGCTCTGTTTTTCCACCAGGTCTTGGAGGTGGCTTTGGTTATGTTGTTGGAGGAATACACTGGGATAAAACCAGTTTTGGAAAAGCTGTAGGAGGGCAACTTCGCGTCATCTATGTCTTCACCTCAGTTATACTGACTATTGCTACCGTGCTGACTCTAATTAGCATTCCAGAAAGACCCTTAAGGTCCTTTAGCAGGAAGAAAAAGGTGATGAAGAGTCCAAGTCTTCCTCTCCCTCCTTCTCCACCTTTCTTCTTTGAGGAGGGTGTAAATGAAAACTTTGCTTCTCATAACTCAGCTCACTTACATGCAAGTTTTACGAGTCCCGTTTCCCCCATCAGCCCACTCACACCAAAATACGGGAGTTTTGTCAGCAGAGACAATTCTTTGACGGGAATTAATGAGTTTGCATCATCATTTGGGACTTCAAATATTGACAGTGTGCTTATAGACTGTTTTACAGACGGGCACAATAGTTATGTAGCACTTCCAGCTAGTTTGGCCAGGCAGCCTGTCAGTGTTAGCTTTCCTCAGGTGCCTGATGGCCGTTACCAAGGAGAAAATGGAGTTCTGGAGCAAGGGGAGAACAGCATAACATCTGACGGTGACGCACTAAGAGTGGGCTCACTGGATGCAATAAAGCCACGGTCGTCAGGGATCTTGAAAAGACCTCAGACCTTGGCCATTCCAGATACCATAACAGGACACTGCCCAGAGAGTAACAGAAGAAGAAATGTAACCTTCAGCCAACAGGTAAGAGCAGGAAATCAATGATATGACCATGTAAACATGAGCATAATTAATCTCTTCATATAATTTTAAACATGTGGTTCACAAATTATTCATTAAAGACTGCTCGTAACAGCTTGCTCATATAAGTCATTATGGAAACAGCACACCTGCTATGACTCTATCAGTAAAATAGTGGGTAGAATGTGAATTATGACTGGCAGTCTGTCAGCTACCTTTGTTAAGATGGCAGAAATGGGAATGTCCCACTCTTATCGGGTCATGTGTGAGAGTTAGGTTGGGGTTTCTGATCCCTGCTTTACCACCAAGGGAGCTACCACATGAGAGCAGAAAAGGACACATTTTTGTTGAGCCTATACCTTCCCTTTCCACAGAAAGACCTGCAAGATAGGGCCAGGGATAGGACTCTCCCATGAGCTTCTCCTTATGGCAGTCATTACATCTGGTTCCATCAGGGAGATGAGGTTTCCCTTACTGAGGGATAAGACTGACCTCTCCTTCCCCTGTTGGTGATAACTTGGAATATCTGAGACCTTTGTATGGCGTATCTTTTTTTATGGTCTGGGATGAGGTAAACTGTCCTCTGTTACTTTTTGGTTTGGTTATGGGATTTGGTTGGAGGTTTTTTTTGGGGGGTGCTGTTTTCTTGTTCGTTTTGTTTGTTGTTGCTGTTGCTGTACTTTGACCCGATTTGTGAGATCAGACTTTTTTAGGGCCAGGATTTTACTTACTGTGCACGTAGAGGTTGAGCATCAAGGTTAGCAAGCAATGAGAATATGTTTCAATTAAAACCAGCTTCTTCTTCCTCAGTGTCTCTATAACTTCAGGATGCAAATTCACCTGAATGTGGGTACAACGCCTATAAAATGCAGTAGAATTTATCCATTCCTTATACTAGAATCTGGATGTGGTCGCCAAGTATCCTAGTGAAGTGAAGAGTACTGTTTCGAGTATACTGAAAGCTGCAGGGTAGTGCTGCCATTGAACACTTGTTCCAAGGCTGAATTTACGGTTTAGCCTAATACACTTAATCTCTGAGTCAACATACTCCAGCAGCAGAGTTTATCTTTCAGATGATCAGATAGGTGTGCAATACTGCATACATTTGCTTAAAGGTTTTTCTTGCTGTGCTTGTTGACCTGGGAGTTCTTATGGTGCAGGTTGCTAATATCTTGCTGAATGGTGTTAAGTATGAGAGCGAGCTGAATGAATCAGACGAGACCTCTGAGCAACCACTCTCTGTGAAACTGCTTTGTTCGACCGTCTGCCAGATGCCCAGGGCTCTTCGTAACCTCTGCATCAACCACTTCTTAGGTATTCAGAAAGTGCCGTCTTCTACTTCACAGGGAAGTAGCTCTGCACTACCTCGGGTGAATCTTTTTCAATATTTTACCTGTTGCTGCCATGGCTGCTAACTAGGGAGAATTTGATTTGTTCTATATACAGTTACCAATAAGGTATCTTCTGATACTTAGTTTCTTAGAACAGTGAGAAAGGAGAAAGGAAAAAAAATACCAAAACACCCCAACAAAACAGTAAAGCCTTGTTCCTAGAAAGGGAATAACAATGGCCTAAATCAGTACCTCTGTTAAGTAGAATGTTTACATCAAACAGAAAGCCAAGATTAGTTGCATTTCCCTGCTTACACCTGAGACTAGTGTTTGCTTTCCTCCCTTTGACAGCACGTGTTTTGGGGTCCCAAAACAGGCCACGAGGAGGTGTGAAACACAGCACTGCAGAAGTGCCTATAACCAGTAATGTTACCTTTACTCTTAACCAGTGTGTGACTGATGATTAGGAAGGGCTTGCAATCAATCCAATGTATACAAAATTGGACAGAAGGTGCCAGGTAGTTAATACTCATTGGCTATGAAAGGAATTAAGAGATTGTCTGCATTAATGGCCTCGATGCCAATTTGTAAGTAGAGTTTTTGACTGTATCAGAGGCACTCTGGAGGCTGCAACCATGACATGAGGTCCTCCTTCCAGTTCTATGTGGGAGAATAACAGCAACCTGAAATTACTATGGGATAAACCACTCTGTTAAACGGAGCATTGTGTCCTGTCAGCTGAAGTTGTGTCCTGTCCTGAAGGCAGCTCAGACTGTCATCATCTATTTTTCTGTCTTGCTAAACCAGTATGTTGTGGCCTTTGTTCTGCCTCTAGCGTTCCACTTTGGAATTCAAATGGTAAATCTTGGTCTTTAAAATCCTGAATGTCTTTAACAAACATTGCAGCATAATGCACGGGGAACAGTGGTCTCAGATAAATGTGGCTGTTGTGTATTACTCACATTACACAACCTGTGTTCCGGGTGTGTTTTGTAATATAGCTGATAACATCCATACAAGCTTACAAAGGGAAAGAGATACTCTGAAATCCTGATGGGTTACTTCTCACTTCTTTCAGGATGGCTTTCGTTTGAAGGGATGTTACTCTTCTATACTGACTTCATGGGAGAAGTAGTGTTTCAAGGGAATCCAAAAGCACCTCACAACTCAGATGAGTATCAGAAGTACAACGCTGGGGTCACCATGGGCTGCTGGGGAATGTGCATCTATGCATTCAGTGCTGCTTTCTATTCAGGTACTTGGTATAGCCATCTTAACTGCTGCTGTGAGAAAAGATACACACTTTCCTTAAAAGTGGTGTTTCTGCAACAAGTAGCTCAGTGTTTATGTTGCACATAGTCTACCCTCACAAGTCCTGAAGCGGAGTGTTCTTTTTCATGGTAATTGTATTATGTTATAGCTAACATAACTATATGATGTTCATTAGCTTGACCTGCACTGACAGCAGATGAGGTCAGCAATCCAATAAAAACACATCTTTCTTAGTATGTAGTTCCTTTCACAAGTGGCATTTTCAATGTACATTGAATCCAGAAATACATGCAGCCGCCATAGGCACAGTTCTGGTGCAGCAGCACTCAGTGCCTGTGTTTCCCCAGCAGAGTGTTCAGGTGTCATGCAGCACCACAGCACTTTGTCACGTATGCCATACGTCTACCTCCCCACCTCCACCAATTCCCACATACCCCTCTGGGACATGGGCACTGCTAGGCTTCAGCTCTGCCATGCCCTCCATGGAGAGGCATGCGAGGCTGCATCGAGGCAACAGGATTTGGAAGGGGCCCTTGGTGCTCACATGCAAGCCACCGATTACTCAGAGGCCTAATAGTTGCCACTGAGATGTGGCTGCCTAACTGCTGGACTACGGGGCCTCAGGTCCACTGACTGGCTGGTACTGGGGAGGGATGCAGTTCAACCAGAATGTCATTCCGTTTTCTTGCAGCCGTGCTGGAGAAGCTGGAGGAGCGGTTCAGCACACGGACGCTGTACTTTGTGGCATATTTGGCCTTTGGGCTGGGCACGGGCCTAGCCACCCTCTCCAGAAACGTCTATGTGGTGCTGTCACTGTGCGCTACCTACGGCATTCTGTTTGCCACACTCTGCACGTTGCCCTACTCCCTGCTCTGTGACTACTACCAGAGCCGTGAGGTGAGCCCTGGGCCGGGGAGGGGAGAGGGACTCCTGTGACACCCCCTTACACTGTGGCTGTGTCCCCCGCAGTTTATAGGCTCGCAGGCAGAGGGCATGCGGCGCGGGATGGGCGTTGACATCTCCTTGCTGAGCTGCCAGTACTTCCTGGCACAGATCCTTGTGGCTCTGGCCATGGGGCCACTGACAGCGGCTGTGGGCAGTGCCAGCAGTGCCATGTACTTCGCCAGCCTGGTGTCCTTCCTGGGCTGTCTCTTCTCCTCCCTCTGTGTCACCTACGAGCTGCTGCCCACCGAGGAGCTTCCGCCTGCCGAGGAGCAGCGTCCGCTCTTGCCCCATGCGCAGAATGAATAAATGGGAGAAGCTGCCACAGCCTCTGCTGCCTCATTGCATCACCTTCAGCCTTCCTATTGTGGCACAACAGGCTTGTGCACCTCTGGGATGGCAGCAGTGGGCATGGCAAATGACGAGAAAGGTCTGCACTGGCTTTGCTGAGCTTTCCCCTGCCTGTGGGAAGGTGAGGGGTGAGTCAGCAGCGCCTGCACTGCTGGTCCTTCCCCTGAGGTGGCAAAGGCCTGTCTGTGCCCCTGGGCCACAGCAGCAGCAGGAAGTGGTGGGGCCATTCCCTCCAGCTGCCTCGTGGTGCTGTCATTCCCAGGGGAACCAGTGGTTTTGTCCAGCTTGAGGCAGGAGGCCCGGAAGTCTGGTACCTGAGCAGGGCAACCTCGGTCTCTTGAGTGGCAGGGAGCTGCTGGGCTGGGCTGCACACTCCACTGCGAGTACTGCCACTGTGGGAACAGCGATCTGCCAGTCTGGGGGGCAGAAGGTGCCATCTCATGGCCAGGCAGAGCCCGATCCTCCATTGCCAAAGGCAGTGGTGATTCCTGTGAGGCTTTTGGGAGCTGCGGGTCCAACCTACAGCCTCTGCCTATGGTAGGCTGGGCTCTGGAGGGTGCTTTCTAAGACTTTGGAAAGGCTGAGAGCAACTGGTCCTGCTTAGGTGGTGTAAGTACTCTATGAAGTTCCATGGTTGGACTTCTACTTGTACAGAGCTCCCACCAAGTGCTACGAGAAACCACTGTGGGCTGAAAGTGGTGTGGCCTGACTCCCAAACCCTGCTCGTTAGGTCCTGGCTGTGGTCCTTGGTAATGTTTGCCAATATGTGCAGATTTCCTTCCACATTAGACTTTTAATTAAGACTACAGGGGTTTGTGATGACTTAGCAGGAGGATGGACAGTTGTCCATAATCCAGCTTTGGGGAGAAGGGTCTTTTTTCATCAGCCTCTCTTGGGTAGTAGAAGCTTACTCTCAGAGCTAAGTTGAGAATTTAAGAAAAATAATTTGTATGAAAGCCTTCATCACATCATTGTTGTTTATACAGTTTTACCTTGTGACATTTTAAAATCTGCATGGGGACCAGTGAATAAGTGCTTGTCAGCTAGAACTGCATCTTCCATATCTCAGTAAAACTAGTAAAAAAAGGGCTTTGGGTTTCATTATCTGCAAGATTTTGTAATTATTCTGATTTTAGAAGGTGGTAAATGTGCGAGAACTTGTACAAGTTGTAGTTAAGGCCAGGAGTTAATTTTAAGTCATAAATAAAGTTAAAACTATTTCTAAAATCCCTATCAGTCTGCTTCCATATTTGGGTAGGCAGCCAATGTTTACCAAGGCTGAGGGACACTTTGGTGTTTACACGTGCATGGCATCCCTGTAGAGGTTATTTCTGCTTACTTGGTCTTTAGGTCTTGAGTAAGGGTTATCACAGGAGGGTCACTCTTTTTAAATGAGTTGTACTTAATTGTACGCCTAAGTTTATTCTGATGCTTGATCTACGATGCCAAGATGAAATAATTAGTGTAATCATTAGCTGTTGTGGCTTACTATACTCCCATGCTGAAAGCATAATACACAACTTGTAAGAACCCCTCATTTTTATCATCTGTTCCTGAGTATTACTTTTTTAAAAATTTATTTTAGAAGCAAGTCTCATATTACTCAGTGTTGACTTAAATGGAGGAATACTACTGAGATTACAAAGTCAAGCACTCAGAGATAAAGGACTATCAGATTGATGAGTATATTCATCTTTCATTTCTTTTTTTGGGCTTATGTAGTGTCATATCTGCAGGAATATCTGTGATGTGTCATTTCCTTGATTATGGGGCAGCTGTCTCCAAAAACGTTCAGGACAAAGCTGGAACAAAATAGCATGAGAAGTTGTTGGTACTTCTGATTTTGACAATCTAAAGACTTGACTTTGGAGAATTTTTCTTTCTTGTTGGTCTGCCTTGTAACCTTAATTTCTCTTCCTTATCTTCTCAAACTTTTAAACTCAAAAATTATTTTATTTCTTTGTTTGGTCTCACCAGCTAACGTGGTATCAGGTCTTAAAATGTTTTTTCCTCTTAAGTTTTGTAGCCAGCGTTATTGCACTAAATGAATTGTGAGCACTTCCTTTTCTAGGTAGCTGGAGTTGCAGATCATTTTGTTGCAAGTGAAAATCTTCAAAAGGTTCATACAATTGATGAAATCAGTGTATCTGATGATAATGTATGTCTCCATTACCATCTGTAAATATTATGAGCTACATTTATATAGTTATAAAACTATTGCTATGCCTATATGCATTACCCGATAAAATATATATTACATTTTCTATTTTATGGGATATGGACTTTATTTTGCATATGTATTGATGTAGTGTTACATACATAATACTTTTAAGTCAACATCACTGTGTGTTAATTTGGGGCTTTGAGCAATACTAGTGGTGTCTGGAAAAAAACCAGGGCCTGTCACTATCATGCAGAGTTGCACCAAATCCATAGAAATAACTTTAAAAAGGTATTACTTGCTTATTCTCTTCGTCATACATTTTGTATTTTACAGAAATTACTGTATATGATCCCTGTTGAACTGCAAGCTACAACGTGATGTCTACCTTTTGGAATCCAAACGCTTCATATTCTGTCTAAATCTGCAAATTGCTGATTGGAAAAGAGATGCATGAGTTTAGGCAGGAAAATGATTTTACGCTGTGCTGTTTTTCAGTGATGCCTAAAGGTTAATTTTGAATAAGTCCATATCATTAAAGGCTGATTGATGGCAATTATTTGTGGATGCTCATAAGGTATTTATAACAGATGTACAGAAGCAGGGAAAATGGGGAGACTGATGGAGAAAACACCTTATCAGTTGTCTCATGTTTGTAATGAAGCTAGCTGTAAGCATTTCAGCATATGTCTGCAGTTCACTCGACTTCTGCTGTGTCTCTCAAAAAAGACAACCTAATAATTTCAGAACTTCTGCTGTATCTTTGAATGGAAAAAATGAGTCTTTTCAAGAATCAAATAGAATAAAATTGTATGACTATATATATAAAGAAAAGCGGTATTGTGAACTATTCAAAAGAGTTTTCTAGTCAATTTATTTTCTACAAATGAGTAGTTAGTCATCTTGTACTCTATAGGACATACACTTTATTTTATTAAAAAAAGAATTTGTGTAAAAGGTAGCTTTCTTAATATTTGTTTTCCCTCTCTCAGACTGGGACAGTCTTAGGGGAGAGGAGAAACTTTTAGATGCCATTATCATAATAACACCCAATGGATTGCATTAAGTCCAATAAACATATTGAGAATTCTATGAGTACTGGGACCAAAATGCCAAGGGAGATCTCCAGCATCTGTTTAATTTATCTAAATAGACATTTTCCGTACCTGTAGTTGTTAAGACATAATGATTCATTTGGCCTAGCTTTCCTGCAGGGAAGGTTTTTGTTGATGTTCACTAGAGAAATGGCTGCGGCAACTTTCCATTGGCTGTTCCTTTGTCCCAGGCTGCTGCTTCTGTAGCAGGGTCAGTGGAGGGGAAGGTGCCTACATTTAGGTTGGCAAATTTCAGGCTGCAACACCCAAGACAACAGCAAAAGCTGTAGGGCAGCAGCGCTGGGACAGGCTAGAGGTCCTTTAGTAGAATCCTTGTTTTTCTTGGTATTGCAGTCCATGCTGTCTCCTAACAGACTTGAAGGTTCTGGGAAGATGGTGTTCTATGCTGTTCAAGGAGTTCTTTATGTTAAAAACCTTGCCAACACGCTCTCTCCTATATCCCATGCAGAAATGATAAATGCATGGAATAATGGGAATTTTTGGTGATTGGAGCTTACTGCCTAATGCCTCCAACCCACAGTGGGAGCTGGGAGTTTTACTTTAGATCTAAAAGGCAACAGCATAGTCCAATACCCAAATAGTGTTAACAGTAAACAAAGGGCAGACTGCTGCGTCATGTGTGGAGCACAGTAGTAGTCCAGGGAGCAGGAAGAAAACAAGCGATGAGTAACTTTAATCAGATGAATTCAAAAGCAAAATATGCACTGGGTAGCAGTCAGCAGACTGAGGAGCAATCTGAAATGGGCATGATGCATTATTAGCCACATATAAAAGCTGTATGGAAACTTGTTTGTTTGTTTGATTTTGCTTTTTCTAGGATCCGGGCATAGGTTTCTCTAACAAAGGATAACAAATCTTGTTGCAATAGCCAATGGAACAGTCAACAGAGGAAATCACAGCATCAGAGCAGAAAGGAAGATTTTTTTTGAGTTGTGCAGGTACAGTACTAACCAAGCTTATGAGCTACTTAAGCAATGAATTTAACAGTATTGCTGTCATATGCTATGAACAATTACTATGCTAGAGATTCAAGCTTTTCAAGCTTCAGCTATAGCTCTCTTTAAACCTAGCTTTTGCTATGTTTTGCTTGATGATACTCTGTTCTGATTCTGCTTTATGCCCACTCCTTTCAGTCATTTTTTATTTACTGCAGATTTTTTTTGTCCACAGAACTCTTTGGGGAAGAGGGGAAAGTGAAAATAGAGCTGAATAAGTTTAATGCTTCTTCCTACCAAGAAAGGAAAATATTTTCTCCTTTTGCCCTAACTCTTGCTGTATTTAGTGAAGTGTCTACAGCACAGATCTAGTCTTGAACCTCGATCCCTATGTGCTACATTATTATGTATGGCCCCTTTAAGCAACGGGCTCATCATGGCTCCAAAGAAAAGTATCAGATAATTTTCTGAAAGTTAGGCTTAGTCCAAAGTGTAAATGGCATTCAGTGCTTATAGCTACCTGTTACTGGTTTTCTCTAGCAAACTCCAAGACGCCTCAGACACAGCCTTTTTTCCAGCACTACACCTCTCACCATTTGTACAGTACTAGAACTGTTCACTGTAATTTGTTCTCAGCCTTCCTCTGCTGACAGCATCACAGCAGCTGAGAATTATGCTTTATAAGCCCAGTATACCATTTTTTTTTAAGCTTGAGCTCTCCTGTACTGGTGCATAGTACTGTGCATTTGTGCAGAAAAATCCACTGCTTCCACGGCAGGCTGGGCTTACAGTGGCCCAGAGGCTGTGCTTTGTTGCACAAACTATTCTTCTGACCTACAGGTAAAAGTTCATGAATCCTGAAAAAGTTATGAATTTGGTCCATAAGAAACAGACCCACTACTTGCATAGACAATGAAGGGCAAGTTAGGTGAGAAGAAACACACCGTTTTCTTTATGTCCCCCTGATCAGCTGCATGTTGTTTCTCAGTGCAGCAGATGCCTTAGCAGGGGACTTAAGGCAAGAGAAAAGCTGAAAGGAGTCACTGTGGAAAACATGACCTCAGCACTGCCACTCTCCTTTTAGAACTTCCTTCATTTACTGTTATTACTGTGTTGTGCAACATTAGTGTCTGATGCCAATAGTCACTCACCCTGCTGCATTAGAGAGCAGCCCCATCGCACTGTGGTATTTGAAAGGACATGAAAACAAGTGTTCTACTGCCTTGTGTATGCAGTGAGATGCTTTATTTAATAACAAAATTATTTTTAATAGGGAAAAAAGCCAGGCCAACACGAAACTATCTGAAGAGAAACATTACAGATATACTTTGTGTTCAAAGCAGCAAGCTCCAGAAAGGAAAAGCTGTGTGGTACCTTTAGATTACAATAGTAAAAACACTGCAGATGCAAAACTTCACCTTTGCAGCAAAGAAAGGAAATCTAGAGTAAGCTAGAGAGGAACTTCCCAGAAACCCTGTACCAGAGTGCAGTCACCATTTTATAAAAAATGTGATGCTGAACATACCAAATATATAGAAGAGGAAGGTATCAGAAAAGCAATACCACTTTTTCATAGCTTCCGTCACTTCCAAGAATAGGTTTTTAATCATCTAATCCATGAGCAAAAATAAAAACACCTTCTCTCAGTATTGTGATTTTGTTAAAAGCAAGCCAGCCCCTTTCTTAGTGTTTTGTCTATTCATCCTCTGTTGGGCTGGTTACACTACAAGCTTATTGAAATGCAATACTGGAAACTTGTCTTTGCCTGACATTTGTAGAATCACCTAAGAGTTGTGCTAAAAGAAACCCTAAAGAAGCAAAAGGTGCATCTAAGGTAGGAGAGAGACTTTGGCAGGGGTTTTGCCTCTTGGAAGAGGGTCAAATATGTGATGAAGGAGTAAGACTCATAGCTCAACTTCAGGCATGCCCCATCTCTTTAAATGAGACTGAAATCTTTCCCTTTTGCTTGTAAACAGGTACAGAACCTCTCTGGAGAAATTAAACAGAAATACAGCTGCACTTCCATTTGCATTTATGTGTGCCAGGCCTCTCCTGAACCACTGGATTGTCCTGTTACAGTAAATCAGAGCCAGGAGTCAAAACACCTGACAAGTGGAGCAGGCAAATGGAAACTGGCAGTAGCCATGCTATTGCTGGAGAGTGAGAGATGCTAGAGCAAATGGCATGCCTTTAGAAAAAGCTGAATGGTTCTCTGTGTGTATTAGAGTAGTGAACCCCCTTTTATCTCTGTGCACCTAATTTGGCAACAATAAACTTTGATTCAGAGCGGAGTCTGAAGAAAGCAGCAGATGCACAGTGTAGAGTGGGCAAATGACACTTTAATGTGGTCAGATGCACTGACAGGGCAGGATGCTTCCTCAGGCCAGGGCGGGCCTCTCGGCCGGGGCGTCTCTCAGGGCCCGTCCGCAGGGGCAGTGCCCACCTGCTGTGCTCGCTGTCGTCTCTGGCGCAGCCTCTCGGCGCCGGTCACTGTCATAGGATGGAGCGGCAGGAACCCCGCCAGACCTGCCAATAAGAGGCGGTGAGACGGGGCCGCACCGGGCCCCCACCCCCCGTCCGCTGCCAGGCGCCCGCCCCAGACCTACCCAGGAGCTTCTCGGCGGGCCGGGAAAGCTGCGCGCCGCAGCCCAGCCAGTAGCGCAGCCGCTCCAGGTTGAGCCCCGCCACCCTCTCGCCGTGGACGTTGGGCAGTGGGTCGAGGCAGCCGAGCTGCTCCAGGTACTTCCCGTCGCGGGCGCGCTTGCTGTGCGCTGCCACGATGCGGAAAAAAGGCCGGTTGGCGCAGCCTCCGAGGGCGAAACGGATCACGACGTGTCCGCCGCGGTAGCCTTTCAGGAGGCGGCTCCCTGTGAAGAAAGCGAGGTGGTCACGGGCCGCCGCGCGGGGGCCGGTCACGGGCCGCGCGGGGGCCGGTCACGGGCCGCGCGGGGGCCGGTCACGGGCCGCGCGGGGGCCGGTCACGGGCCGCGCGGGGGCCGGTCACGGG